AACAAACAAACAAACAAAAAAAAAACCACCACAAACTAACCCAACAGCCCAAAACAGAAGTGTTCTACATAAATGGAGAACAGGGATTTCAAGTGCAGCATAGTTCCACCACTGTCCGCCAATATCCTGCATAGCACATCAAACCCTTGACTGTGAGAGAAGCATAGCCAACGTTACTGCTTATCAAAACCTAAACCACTCAACTGCACCATCAAACTGACCTTCAGCCAGCCCAGCATCTGGATAGCAATAAGATGTCCTAGAACTGTGCCTTCAACATTGTCCTTGTTTGGGGTAGAATAGAAGTAATTATGTTCAGTGATGTTACTTTTGAATTCAAACTCTTCTAACTAACTGCACTTTCTGAAGGTTAAATCCATATTTTTGCAGACAGTGTCTACTTCTAGCAGTGATAATGCTCCATGTTTAGAGTCACCACCAAGGGCTGGTGTGCAGACCAAGGTCACTGCTAAATCCTGTGCACCACACAGAGGGGGGCAGAAAGTAAAGGCTGCACCTGCAGGGAGGAGCGGACAGGACAGGGGACCCTAAATTCACCAGTGGGGTATTCCATCCCACATCCCTCATATTCAGCATTGAGCTGAGGGATCACAAGTGTCAAGATCCTTCCTCTCTTTTGCTTCTCCTTCACTGGCTGGCACCCAGAAGAGCAATCCATTCATTCTGCCTTTGATCCCAAGCCATGTGTTCCTGAACCCAATTCCAGAACCCAGCTCCTGTACCCAGTTGCCTTCTGCTGCTGAGTCCAGCCTGGGACTTTTCCCCAGGGCCTGCTCCCAGCATTGGGGTGACGGTGACCTATTGCCATCAGAGGGGTTGGAGGCAGTTGGGTTTGATACTTTGTTTGTATATATTTGTATATATACCATTATTAGTAGCATTGTTATTATTTTCATTAAAGCTGCTTTACTTTTCTAATTGATAAATCTCTCTCCCTTGATTTCCTTTCCCTTACCCTTTTTAGTGGGTGGGAGAGCGGTTAACAGAGCATCTGTTACAAGTCTGGGGGCAGCCCTGACCCTAGACCATGACACACCTATGTAACAGATAATAGACATATGCTATAAAAATAATTATTAGTGCTTATACCGTTACAACACTAATTAACCAATGATTTGCTCAGGTTCATTAGTAATGCGGAAGGTTGGGCTGTAACTCACCCGTAAACATATTATTAATCCCTGCACTACTCAAGCAATGTTAGAATGGCTTTTTCCTTGCTAGGGCACCTTCAGTGCAACGGAAAGGAAAAACATGAGTTGCATCTGTTAGATCTATTTCTCACCAAAAAAGATTATAGCAAGACCGTACAATGACAGTATTACATAAGCTGTCTTCCTTTATCCAGTAACAGTATCCTCTAATGATAATCAATGCACGAAGGCAGAATATTAACCGAGCAATGAAAGACTTGCACGATGAGACTGCAAGTAGCCTATGCTACCAAGAAACCACACCTTAAAGGTGTTTAGAATGCAGAGAAACAGTTGCACTCCTGATTCTCAGAGCTTTCACTTTTTACCCATCTTTAAAGTTACTGAGTTCCACTCACAGTCAAACTGTCACGATCCCCCCCCTCACGCTATGGACCGTTCACCTTAGCCAAGTCAGCCTGGCTCTGCTGCACTGCCAGCTCCTTTTCTGTAAAAAAGACTTCCTCCCACAGTCCAGCCTCTGTTACAGGTCAGGATCTTTCCACCATCACATCCAGTGGAAAACATTTTCAGAAGCTCTCAACCTGCAGCAGCTGAAAAGCAGAACAGCTTAGAAAAAGCAGATGCCACACTGCATGTATTTACATCACCCAAGACATGCTGAGTACTTGTTAGCATTTCAAAATACCTAGCTTAAAAACCTCTCTTCTTTACATATGGCACCATCTCTCCAGTCAATTAAGGCTGTAATCTACGCATCAACACAGGCTTCCCTGGAGGCCTTCCTGTCTGACTATTAACTCTAGTTTCCTAACTTGTTCAAATCTATTCTCACCAACAGGCTGATGAACCAGCTTCCATATTCTGGCTTCTCAACCACCCCCCCTCACCCACCCTGAAAGATACTAACTTCCCCCACTCACTTCCCACCAGCTACAACACTGGCACAGAAGCTTTCTGCCTAGACACTGTTCTGATCACATCTTAAGTCTTCTTTTCATTCTTCCACTGCCTCTGACCACAAACAGAAGCTATTCTCTTCAAAAATGTCTTTTTTTACTTTATCCGTACCATAATGTGACATTTACGTTTTCAAGAGATTTAGGAAACCACTTTAGGGAAGGGGAAATGAGCATAGGAAACTATACTCGGCCACAAAACACATTAACACAAAATTTCACAGAAGTATGAGGGAACTACATGATCTTTCCCCACATCCCTGGCAAATCAACATAGGAAGTTAACAAGCATTGATTTGGTATTTGAGGTACTGAGCTGCAAACATTTCAAACCAACCCAAGGGATCTTCCTTGGTCACGTATGTTAAGTATGCATTACTAATTATGTGAAATTCTCACTGGGAACATTTCCTAGGAGAGACAACCTCAGACTTGCAAGACTACAAAAAAAAGCCACCAACAAATCCCATCTGTTTTTAAAGCTACAGAGTTATTACAATGTTATTTTAAAAACTTAGTAATGAGCTTTTTATTTTTATATAGGCACCACACTAGCTTAATAAGATACATAGTTACACTATCTTCCAAAATTAATTAGGGTTTTTAAATAGAATATACTGATTTAAAGCAGAGCAAAGCCCTTGAAGCACAAGATTAACTGTTGTGAAGGCATTTCTAAAAAACTGTTGCAAAAAAAAAAAAAATTAAAAAATCTCACTAGTACCCACTACTGGAGTCAAGCTGTTCCAAAGCTTGATGTGACAGAATCAGAACATTCCCTTAGCTTCTTTAAAATAAAAAGTTCTAACAAACCTTTGTTTCAGTAGAAATGCAGGCATCTGTTTCCGTTTCTCCATTGTACCAAGATATTTGGAATGGAGATACAAAGCCATTTTCCTTGAGGGAGACCACAGATGTGGAACTGTAATGACGTAATTACAGTACAGCTTACATAGAAGTTCAAGCTAATGAGAAGCATCAACACAACTATTTTAAGTTTCTAGCCACTAATGACAGACTAGCAAGACCATAACCTTGCTCCTTACCAAAAGAAAATAATCGCAGCGTTGAGTTCAGGACTGAGCATTTAAGCATCAGACATGAAGACTACTGCTGTGAAGGCCCAGCAAGAGAACTACTTCTGTGTAGAATCTGCTACCATCAAGAACACATTTAAAGCATACCTTGATCCTCAGTTTGGGGATGCAGTTATGCCAATATTTCTTGATTAAGAGCCTACTGTGGACCTCCACATATGTCACAGCTACCTATTACTGGACTAGCATTATTCTGCATTTCCAAGACACTGTTATAGCAAGGATCTTAATTTTTAAGCACTAAGCATGTCTGTTAACAGAGAACAGGCTAACACTGCCTAGATTATCTAAGCAGGGCACCAAAGTCGACTCATGAGACAGAAACCAGCATGAAACATTTCACATGCAAGGGCTACAATGGCTTAAATTAAGTATTTTTGTGGACTTACATATTTGAATCACAGAGCAGGCAACCCATTCATTGATTCTCACAAAAAAAACCAGCACACATTTATTGACTCAACAGCTCACAGGAAGGGTGGTAAACAACTCCGTATAATTTGGTTTTTACCTTTTATTGGGCAATTAGCTTAGTCATCACCTTCATTTCAAAACCCAGATTCATCATTTTTTACCTTATTGCCACAATTCAGTGGATGTACTTTTAATTAATTCAATGCTAAAAGTCTCATTTACTGATAAAGTACTTGCAAACTGAGGCAAGTAAACAGAAATTGTTCCTTTAAGTTCTTGCACCTGACTTCAGCCATGTCATGCTCTTATCAGATTGTTGTCTTACCTCAGACCACAGGAGCTGCACAGCTCGAACGAGTTCCTCCACCATTTCCCAACAGCAATGACAGGAACAGCCCCACCTTTTCCCAGGCACAAGAACTTTAAGGCTATAGCAAAGTTTGATTCTGAACTTTATAACCTGGACAAGGCAGGATGAATTTCCACTTCCAAAATTATCCAAAATTATTTGCTGTAGAGACAATCTGAGAAGGCTGGCAGTCGAGTGCTTTCTATCCTAGCTTAGCTTCTGTTACAGAAGGGATTGGACATATCATTACCACCAAAGACTCAAAACATGCAGTTTAGCCCTCAGCTATGCAAAAGTAGCTCCAGCTACGCAAAAAGACTGAAATTTTAAAAGTCTTCCTTGTGCTCAAAAAACAAGCTCTCTTTTCCTCTGGAACACATGGAAACAACTGAAAGAACACAATCCTGAAACATCCGAATTATTCCTTAATTGAACTGAAGATGCTGAATACAGACTTAACTAACAGCCATTATCAATTCTGTTGAGGCTTTTTCCCTTCCTATACCTCATTCCCCTACATAACTGACATTTTCAGGTAAGTAAAATTAAAATACTGGAGACATGTTAACTCATTAAATAGACACACTCTGGAAATACCTATTAAACACTCCCTGAAAGTAAGAATTTAACACTGGTATCTAGTTCCCCTAAGATGCCAACACCCTGCTGCTGTTCTTCAAGGCCAAGCAGAGTGTTCTCTCAGCTTGCATGTTTTATATTAAACCACCAATAATTGTTGCTAGAATGTAATCTACTAAATTTAAGAAATAGATCCATAAAGTGACTTAAGAGCTTAGGTAGCTCTGACCCACATACCCTGAGAATTCACTGATCAAATCCAAAATGCTCTACTGAATTTCCCCAATGCACAGCAAATTTTAGAAGCCAGTTTTTTTTAACACAGCAAAAGAAGGATGCTCTGCAGAAAAGCAAGATCTTTTATGACTGTTTAATATTTATGGCCCATTTTTCCTGTGCTTTCCTAACAAGAAACCACACCAGAAAGTTGCTTTCATGTTTTTATTGTATGCCAAAGTTCATTAAAGACAGAAGTTTGCCTGTATACAAGTTACTCAAAAGTTGTGTCTAGGCAGAGATTAGCAATCTGACTTATTTCAAAGTATAGATTTGCTCAGTCAGGCCACAAAAATAATATTGTGTACAAGCAGTAACTAAAGAGCTGCATGTTCAAGAAGTTTCCAAGTATCACAGATCCTGAGATCTCATCAAGAACTAGAATCAAGGCAGTCATAATACAAAATAGCAGCTCCCCATAACCTTTTCAAGTTTTAGTTTTATTCAGAAAGTGACACTTAGTTCAGTTTGCCTCACTCTTTGAAGCTTCATCGAAGTTTTCAACAAGATCTACAAAAAGAAGAATGTTGAAATTAAAGTTTGACCCGCTTCTGCTTTGCCAAACATTTTGGCTTTGTTCTGTGTTTTGTTTTTTACTTTCCAAAATTCTACTTCATATCAAGTGCTTACAACACAAAAAAACCCCAACACCTTCAACTTGTAAAATAAAGCCCAAATAACATTCAAGAGCTTCATGGTTCATTCTTCTTGCTCAACCAAGGAAGTTTTGGATGGTTCATGATAAAGCACAATTCCAAGAGCAGTTAACTCCATTATACCCAGAACTAGGTGAAGTGATACTTGGAAGGTAGTTTCTTCCCCCTCTTCTTATTTAATATTAAATAATAATCTTAACCATAGCTGTTACTTCTACACAGGACAAAAATACTAGCTCAAACTATTAAGTCTCTCATGGTGTCTGAAAACAATGAAATCATCTGTCCACAAATTCTGTGGCAGCGAATAATCAATAGTCTTACCATCCTGGGCCCAATCTTATGCTACATATGCTAGCCCTCAGGGAAATTCACTTCCTTTTCTTCCACTGCATGCTTGTTCTTACCTGGAACTTCATCATCATCATCTTCACCAGTAGCAAGTGGTGCTTTTCCATCCACAGCTGCAAGAACAGTTGAAGAGCATCAGTCAAGCTCACCACAGGCATCTCGATTAGTTGCTTTGCTTTGTGTTTTTTTAAAACATTACCAAGGATTCTGAGCCAAACTGCAATGCTTCATCATGCTCCCTTGCTGAACAAAAATCTTCAGCTAACCTATGACAACGTTCAAACAGCCCAGCAGGGAAATGTGAAGATGTATCCTAAACCAGCTTAGTAACCACCATCTTAGCTTGGTATATTACATGCCTTGCATGGTAGTAACTTTCACCTACAAGTGCAGAGACTGATTTCACCAATTTGTCTTAAAAGCATCATCAAGGAAAAGAAAAGCTCTTTTGGTTCTAGGTCTTCAAGGGAAACTGAGGTGTAATTGTGCAGGCAGACACACATGACTAGAGGTATTTAAAGATATTATTGTTCCCTGACAAAGTCAGGTGAATATGGAGCTGGATGCACAATTTTACACTTAGCTGGTTGAGGTAACCACATGTTCTGGGCCACACATCTGGTACCTCCAGTAATTTCCTAACCTTTCCCACTGTGTTTGCCAGAGCTGGTGAGACTTCACCACATCCACTGTAGCAGTCCAGTGAGAACCTGTTGAACTGCCTGCAGCAGTACAGTGCCAGGAATAGGCACCCTAGCTCCCTGAGAGCCCGTGCCACTGCTTTTACTGCTATTCTTAGCTGTACTGCAAGGCCAAACTGTCTCGTACTCTCTATCACCTCAGTTTTATCCTCATTAATCCTTCTCAGTTTTCAAGAGAAGCATGAGGAAAAGATGGGTTCATACTAGACCTGTGCCCTGATTCTAGAGAACCAAAACAGATGAAAGCCCAAACTTTGGTCTTTCTGAAATGGCTCAGAACAAAGTCACTGCTAAACCTTCTTTTGGATTTTTTTGTTTTTTTTTAAACAGCAGAAAGCTGTTACATCTTAAGTGCATCTTAGTGTGAAATATGACATTTTAAAAGCAAACTGTGTTATTTCCTCCTAAACTGTCTGCATCCTCTCTCATACCCAGGACCAGACTAAGTTTACTTTAGCACCTGGAAATGCAGTCATCACAGACACTTTGCTCTTCAATGTCAGGCTTCCAAAATAGCAGATAATGCTGAATGGAAATTTTTGTGCAACTACTCTGGCATACACCCAAAGTAGAAAGGAATAGCTACTTACTAGGTCATACAAAGCACGTCCTTTAAACAAGCTTCCCTCATACTAAAAACGCACAATTTAACTTATCCATCCAGAATATACCCACCTTATGAGATGAGAGATATTCTGGGATCATTTTAAATAATTTGATTGGTTTTGTTGTTTGTTTTTGTTTGTTTGTTTTTTCTCTCAAGCCCTACTACTACCACAAGGAAGCCACACAGGTGACATCAGAAGGAAGGGGATGGGCTCCACAGAGGAAAAAAATAAAACACAGTTTGCCCCACCTCCAGAAGACTACTTTTATGAGGAATTTTTTTAATGGGATGTTGACAGGAGGAAGTATGGAAGCCAACTCTGAGAATGAAAATAGAGGCTGTCTTGTCAGCAGCAATGCAGAGAAAGAAAAAACACTTAACAATCAAGTTTGGAACTACCAGAAAATGGACACAATGGTATGCTTCTCCCTCATTCCCCTGTGTTTAGGATGTTCCATACCTCGGAAAGAATGGGCTTAAGATATTTTGGACTAGTAGGAAGACCACACATGACACTGGGAGCATTCCTCCTGTACTTCAACAAGCCTGTCTTTCACTCCCATTCCTCACCTTGTTGAGGCAGCACCTTTTCCAAACAAACCCCAAATATTTATGTCCTTCCTCTTTTCCCACAAAGTTTTAGGAAGAACAAGTGTTCATGTTCTTCAACCAATTTAAGGATGGAATAGAAAATTGGTACATATAACTTAATGCTCACACCAGCTCTGTTCTCTACACTGTCTGACACACCAAAATTTTAACATACTTCCTTACAAACACCGTGTAATTCCCTCCTAGCTATCAAAAAGCCCACCCAAGAAATACCTCCACCACACTCGTGAGGCAGTGAATCAGTTATGAGATACCTGTCCTCAAGTCCCTTCTGCCATTACTTACATCTCCATTCAAAGCATGAGACAGACACACTCAAAATCTTTCTTTGAAAAGCTAACCCTTCCAGAGAAGCTATACCTAGCTTTAAGGAGAAAGGTACGTCACAATGTGGTGGCACACAGAGAAGTAAACTAGCACAAAATCAAGTCTAGCTTCAGCTCTTCAGTCCAAGACCAGCTGCAAGATATGCTAACAGGCGCCTCTGCTTTATTTGGCTATACTCATTATTGCATTTGAGGTATAAATAAGATCTAAGAGTTCCAAATCTTTATAGCCATTTTATAATACACTTGCTGACAGCAAGAGTGCACTGAATGTCACTGCTGCTACAGAAACAAGCCTCACTAGCTGCCAACATGAAACGTGTTCAAGTTTCAACTTACACTGCTTGGGTAGGGCTTCTGCCAATCTCCTCAGGCTGGTCAGACTGTCAGCTCCGAGCTGGTTTAAGATGCTAGGAAGCATTTCTGTCAGCTGCTTTGTCTCAGCATGGCCGATGACAGTGAAAGTGTTAGCAGCCAGAGACGCCTGAACTTTAGGGTTATTGAAGTGAATGACTGTTCCCTGGTTGGTAAACATGTTTACCTGCAAGAAAAAAAATCCAGCATTTGAAGCAATGTAGCAAGATTTTTCTATCAACAGGACACAAAGTTTTCAAAGACCTGCTGATAATTTACAGAAAAGTATGTTACTTACTGGGGCATTAATTTTGATACATTTTCTGTTTCTATATAGGTAAGGGTTTTTTTTCCTTTTGAAGCAATTACCTCTTCAATTCCAGAAATATTGTTGACTCCCAGTTTCTTCAATGAAAACTGAAGTTTCTTGTCATCTGCTGTAGCTGTTCGGTGGACAACCTTCTTCTTTCTGCGGGCAGTACCCTTTCCAGGAAAAAAAAAAAGTCATATATTGCTTCAGTAGCTCTTCACAAACTCTGATCCTCAGAGCCATGTAACTGCTCTGCAGGCATCTTCAAATTAATTTAACATACAAAGTTCTGCTTGTGTGTTACAGTGCACACAACCCCACCCCTCCAAGTGCACTGCAGCAGCCTTTCCCCTGCTATAAAGCAAGCTCTGCGCATCTGAGAGAAGCATGAGGTTTTAGAAACCTCTGTTTCTCAGGTGCACCAGAGAGCATTTATTCCACAGCTCTTACAGGGATTCTGCAGAGTCTCAGAAAATAAAAATTCCAGGTTTACCTTTGTCTGTTATCATGGACATAAAACTGAAGAAAAAGCACAGCTTAGGTACCTTCTGAAGCTTATGAATTTCTTCTTACATCATCTTTCTTAAACTGTAGCCAAATTTTGATAATAGAGGCCATGATGTTATGAACACATCTTTAAGAAACAAATGTTTCTTAACGTGTTCTCAAACCTAAAATGCTCAGTTTTTATTCCAAATAGACATACCTCACCTGATGGACTTAGATATTTGAAGAACACTTATTTTCCAAAACTGTTTCATAAATATTATTTTTAAAAGTCATAGTATTCCAGACCATTCCTGTTGAGCAAGCAAAAGCAGCAAAGGTTAAGTTCCCCTTCAGACAAAGAGCTCTAGATTCCTCCGGGGAAACAACTGCCCCATTCTTCTGCTGACCACTTGCCCAATACAGAATGATATTACCATTAACACGGAGACCAGCAGCCAAACCCCTCTCTCCACTCTCACATCACACACCAGAAATTCAAAGTGCCAGCCAGCCACAGGAAGGAACAAGTCAATGCACTCACCCAGCACAGTGGACATGAAGAAGTGAGAAAGCCAGGCGAGCAGCCAAGCCATGGGAGATGGCAGGAGCCATAGCTACCAGGGAACTCAGGGACAGCTTCATGTTCTGGCCCTGTCATCCTGGGAACTCCATTTGCCATGAAGGGTTAGGGAGCCCTTCTGATAGCCACAATCCCCACACAGTACATCCACAGTATAAGCAAGCCTCCCAACCCCACTGCAGGCACAGTCAGCTCTTACAAAGGTGGCTTCTTGCCTCACCTCCAAGTTACTTTAGGAGGTGGGGGCACCTGGTGGGGGTCTCCTAATCAGTTCCCACCCAAGGCTGGCCAGACCCTGGGTGAAAAGCAGTCAGGAGGATCTTCCTTGCCTGGTTGTGAGCATCATCCATATGCCCACCCTCATTCAGGGCTGGGGGTTTAACCCCAGCCCTTCACCCATATTAGAAGGTTCATATACATATGAAAAAGTAGAAAGTATGATTCTACACTTCCTTGCAAAATCGTAAGGCTTCAGTAAAATCTGACATGAAGCCTCTAGGAACAGGTGGAACTAAGCTGCCATTTGACACAATGTAACTACTAATCTAAGCCTTCCTACTTCAACTGCCAATCTGCCACATGCTAGCACTAGGAGAAAGCCCTGCTGCCCAGTGGCACAAACAGCTGCAATCTCTTTTGACTTAAATGGTGGAAGTTAGCAAACTGTCTGGACACTGACACCTCTAGTATAACCCAGTTACAACCAATTGAGAACATTAATGGCAAATTCACTTGAAACTAGCACTTGGAAGACTTCAGCTCAAAAGCTTAGTTTTTTGTCTAGAAAACTGGATATTCACTCCCTACTACTGTCAAGTTAGTGCACACAGTGATTTGAAAACTGCTCAAATAATAGACGTGGCTTTATTTTAATAGTTGGAATATCCAGGAAATAGAGCCACATAAGGCAGATGTTCAGTCTCTCTGGACAAAAGACCTCTCTACGTATTTCAAAATACCATGCCTTGAATTGAAGCCTGTGTAGGAACATGTGCCTCCTTTTTTACCTGTCTTAAACAGATGCCAAACGTTAGAGAGACCAAGTTAATGTAAATGAACAGCTGCTGCTTTCACCCCCACAGATTTAGCATTCTAAAGGCTACAGGTTTTTACTAAACAAATTCTACCCTGATCACGCTGAGGCTTGCTGTTCACACTCCTCCACCTCCATAATAAAGAAGAGTGGGTACAACAGGCCAACAACAGTGGAACACTACAGACTCATCTGCCACTCCTCTAAAAAGGGTTTGGAAGACAACCCACAACATTTAGTTGCAGCTATAGCCTACACAAAAATATCAAATTTTGTGCAACAATAGTACTACAACGGCCCTTCATCTAAACATTGTATTTAACCTGTTTGTAAGATCTGCAGCTTTGCAACACCATGCAAACCTTCCAGCAGAGGCCATGTGCAACCTCCTCACACAAAAGGTGACTCTTCCCCCTTTGCCACCTCCATATCCATCTCAACTACATAGTAAAAAACTCATGAAGAACCCCAGTAATAATTTCCAGTTCTAAAACAAATAATAGTTTTAAAAAAAAACACAGTTATAAAAAAAAAAAAACACAACACACAACCCCACAAACAACAAAGTTCAGGCACTCAAAGTATTTCACACAACAATTTCAAAACTGAATGACAGCACCACCAGCATATTCTAAGCTTCACTTAATGTCTCTAAATGACCTGTATTGATCAGAGAGCTGTAAGAGCTGTAATCCGAATACATGCTCTTACATGACAAACATTAAAAGCCTTTATAGTCAATAAACACATGCTGTTAACGTGCATGCAAACGTCAATATAATACAGCAGTACTCTGCTTAATCAGTAACCCATATAAGGAATATGCAAAATCACCAAGCCAGTTAATTACTAAACTAAACCCTGATTTAAGGCTGCCTACATCTCCCACTAAAGAGAAAAAAAATTCAACACAGCAGTGAAAGCTCCTGAGAACCCTGACAGCAAAAGCTCTGTTGAACTGTTTGTATTATACAACATTGTGTGTACACTTCATCAAGTACAGAAAAATTACTAGCAAATTTCTGCCATAAAACAGACACTGTAATTAAAATGTTTACTATTGTAACTATACTAAACACTTTTTATTTTTTGATTATAAGCAGTCACACAGCTACATATCTTCAGATGTCGTAATAAAAGAGAAAGGCTTTCCGAGCACGTTACTCTACAACATAAGACTATAACAAATATAGAATTTCCAACGTTGCCCTAAAGGGCCAAAAAAAAAAGTCAACAAGCAACTTACAAGATTTCTCATGCAAGTTTGGAGTATAACCTTCTATAATCTGTTAAGAAAACTCCACCCACGCTCACCTGCTGCAAGATCTACTCAGTTCAAATCCTACACGCCTTCTAAAATAGCCCGTACAAGAAAACAGGCTGCAAGTCTAGTGTAGCCCATTATCAGAAACACAAAATGAAAAGGCCTAGTGCTCTGGCAACTAGATCTTGCTCCTCCTCCAGGATTGACTCTGGAGATGCCTACAGCAGCGCCGCTTCTCCCAATGACAGCCAAGCGAAGCTGAGAGTACCGAGGGCTGCCCCCCGCCCCAGTTTTCGGGACCCTCGCGCTAGGCCTGCTATGCACGCAGGGACACCCAGTCCCGAG